TCCCCCCTTGCTCCACTTCCAAGCTGTCTACCGAGGAATGGCAACATGATCTATTCATTATTCATGATAAATGTTAGTCAGTCTACCGGGCTCGGCGGAGTGTTCGGTCCGAGTATACGGGTACTAAAATGCGTACTCGTACTAGATAAGGGGGGAAGGGGGGCCCTAAGTTGGAGGATTAGGGGTGGGAGGGAGAAGTATGAGTATGGGTATGATAAAAGATTAGATGGAAGAGAGGGTCATGGCATCTAGTTGCCATTGCGCAATCTCCCAAGAGATTCTGGAAGCACTTGGTAGTTGTTTGATTGCATGGACAGGCGTGTCGTGTAGATGGAAGTGTTTGCCCTTTGTGGTCCTGTATGGATAAAGACGGGCACTGCGAATGTGGGGAGGGTAATTGAGACACAAGATGTGAAACTTGATGGCAGTGTGCGCTGCCCGCTGCCCGCTGCCCACTGCCCACTGTTCACAGCCACGGTCCTGTTCAATCTACCTTTGTGGTCCATGTGCCCGCCGCTGTATTGCTGGCAGGCTGGGCAGGTGTGGCTAGCTGCCTTGTCAAAGAAAAGATGTTGATGGCGATAACTATGGCGACGTTGCTCTTGTCGATCACGCGGGAACTCCTTACAGGGGATCTGCAGTGGCACTAACCACATGGGAGTCTGTGAGCGCGAGAGCGCGAGAGAGAAAGAGCAGAAAAAAGAGGGGGTGGGCGTTTTGGTGATGGAGAATCAGAGATGAATTATCCACCTCATTGTGGATTGTGTGGAGGGAGATTCACGATTCACGGTACTGTACCAACGATCCGGGTTTCAATTTGAGATGAAAGCCTTCGGTTACCCATCTCCGAAATTACTTGTCAGTCAATCAGAAGTGTTAGCAGCGTTGGTAGCCGGAGATGAGCTGGAATTACAGAGCGACTAGGGTGAGCAAACAAACAATGGAACACTTGAGGTGTCTAACTTCCCTCTCGCCGGTGGTAGTTAGCGAAGGAAGCGAAGGAAGCTCGTTGAGCTTTGAGAACCCATCCCAAGTGGGCCCCTTCGACAATCTCCGCTCTCAAGCCAAAACGCAACAACACCCTGTCTGCCCGTCCCGCTTGGTTCTCAGGTAAACAATGTCCCGAGAACTTCGTACTGTACGGAGTATACATTTCTTTACTTATCTCGGTCGGCCTGGCAGGCTGGCACGACCTGGGCTGAACCGATCTTCCGAACGCCCCATGATCACGACAAGTGGGAGAAACTTGACGGATCAGATAGTAAGCTTTGGGCTCACCGACAGTCAGCAGCACAACCAGAACCTCAGAATATAGTTCCGGTTGACCAGGCTATTGAATTTATCTCCTCCTCTTTACGAGCCCCTACTCGCTTCTCATGACTTGGTAGATACCCCTTTACTCCCTCCAGTATACGAGTGAGAGCTCCCACAGTAGCAATACTCAAGCGTAGTGAGTTACCCCCATAGAGCATCAGTAAGCGAGTCCTTCCCAGTCGAGCCATCCATAGTCTCGGGTTCAGCCCCAAGAAGAATGTTGCCAAGCTTTGAAACATCCAAAGAGATTAACTTTGCGATCTGGAAGCTCGGATTGCCTGCCTAATTGCCTACCTGCCTATAGTAGGTGGTGGCCGAAATATCCGCCACATACCTTAAACTCAGTTTTACCTCAAGCGGCTCTTCCTCGATCGTCTCTGACATGATCCGTTACGAAAGGAAAAACGTTGTTTCAAACCCTACAGTGGCTGAGAACTTTCCGAACGAGAGAGGGAGAAAGAGGGAGGGAGAAAGAGAGAAAAAGAGTTGAATGGTGTGTGTGGCTACTGCAATGCACTGCGTCAATAGCCAAAATTCTAACTCTGAAAGATAAACTTGTAGATTTTTCAGTCGGATTGACAACTAGACCGAACCTTTCCATGCTTTTTTTGTTTGTTGTAATGTAGCTCTACTTCCGTTGGGTGCTTCTATTGATTCTCCTTTCCTAATTCGTGCTCTGCCCTACAGTTGGAGGGCCCGTTCTTTCGATACTTGCGTGGCTGGCTGTCATCAACTGGAAGTATAGGAGGGAATTTATGTGATCTACCAATCCCAAAGATGCCGGTGAATATCCCAGATGCACCCCATAGATGCATTGCGGATCCAGCGTCTCTTGCTCAGTACTACGCGATTCCGTGATGCTGAAACGACTTGTTGTTCGGCTCGGTTGAGAAGAGCTGACATCATCTACACTTTTGACAATTCAGCATAGGGAACTCAGTAGTTATATAAGTTTACATGGTACAGAGCACCAACCTTACCACTTACCACAATTGAAGGAAGACTGGATCTTGAGGGTTCACAGTTTCACGGTACCGACTCGGGACATCCGATTCGATTCGTATTGCAAACGTTTAAGTTGGCGCCCCCCTACAAAGAACAGATAACTTACTACGAAAGACAATCACGGCAGATGGTTGAATCATAATGATCTGTCCCATGGTACACAAAGCTCCGTAGGAGTCTGTGACACGGGAATTTATGCTGCAACCGGAGACGAAAAGAGAAGCAGGAGCCTAAATTTCATTCAGAGAGAAGAAGGGGGGGGAACACGAAAACGCGGGTTATGCCCATTACTCTCGTCGTGGGTTACACACTGGTGGAACAAATCTGAACCACGGAACTAGTTGACGGGAGGATCCCACTGGTAGCTGGAGATTGGAATGACCTGACTCGAATTTTATGGGAATTCGAACTTGTGGTAAAGGAAGTCTGGTACCCTCAGGGGAATTTGAGTTCAACTTCTTTTTTTTTCTCTGTGTGTTTGTTTGTTTTTTAAAGGGGTTGTGTGCTTGGTGACTCGGAGAATTAAGAGGTTCGGTTTGGATAGATAGTAGTACAGTACACAGATGGCAGCCATGAGATACTTGTTGTGTTTGGGAAGAACGAGACCACCGTAATACTTATCATGTTGAGGCATAAGGCGGGAAATCCGGGGTGATGCTGATGGTCGGTAAGGTGATGATCTTCTCGGTGAGATCATTGTACAGGAGAAACCCTTCCGGGATTTCTCCCTCCATGAGATTGCGTCGAGTTAAACCCTTACTGTTCCTGCTACGGCGAAGACTTATTTTTTGCATGGTAAATAACGATTACAAAGCTAAGTTACCTAGTCTCAGGGGCAAGATGCTCGGAAGACCATCATCCAGTGCCGGCCATGCTAAAACAGATGTGTGGGAAGTGGTTTGCAGGACGTTCAGCAAGAAACCCTGGACGTTAAGTTACTATCGGTCTGGTATAATAATGGCATTAATCTATTATTATCCACGAGGGAAGGCCCCTCTTATGCCCATCGGTGCAAGGCGGCAACAGTCCCGCGGCGACCGAGGGAACTTTCCCCTTCGCGGTTACCGACTAGCTACCTCCGGACGGTTTCTCCGAGCTTCCGTAGCACTTTTTTTCTTTTCGATTTCTGGGAAAAACCTGGGCAGGACTTGCCAGGACTAGCAGTCATGGCGTGACAGCTAAGAATTTTAGTTGGCGTGTGGCTGCAAAGCAGCTTCCAATTTGCTCCGTTCCCATCGGACTATCCAGTTCGCTAGGAACGCATATGGTCCCAGTCATGGGCTCATGCACCTAGCACGTTCTGTTCAGTTCTTCTTCTGATACCGAGGAGGAGTTGTTGCTGCTGCTGCTGTTGCCCAGACAGAGATGCAAATCAGGGCAGGGAAAAGGAGGCGGCTCATCTTGGCCTGAGGCAGGCCAAGTGGTCAAACACGCTGACAGTAGTAGTAACTACGGTAGTATTCTTACCTATTCAAACTTCACAAGCTCATTACTAAGAACATACAAACACCTATCATCATCACCATCATCGCCACACCATCACCTTTACTCAACTACCCCTCCAGAAGTACGTCCTTACGTAGAAGAGATCGATCCCACTGATCCCACTTATCATCTATCGATATCTACCACGGAACCAGGCACCGGCCGGCAGATTTACTTACGCCCCGTCCACCATCCACTCCTAGCCCCCCAGGTAACCTTAGTTTCTTCGCCTTCGATTACTGTTTCCATCCATGGATGGAGTGGGTTGGCATTACTATCTGTCCATAGGAGGAGAGGGGTTTCGCTGCTCTTGACCCGCTCACGTATCGAGGATGGGGAATAGTTGTATCGATAACAATACTAGGTACGGAATACTTCCTTGGTCTACGGACTCCTGAGTAGGATAGCAAGGCAAAAGGGCAGAAAAAGGCAGAGCATGACTTATCGTTACTACGGAGTACTACTGAGCGAGCAAGACTACGAGTGACTAGTCCCCAGTCTAGTACATACTCCGTACTAAGTTAACCTCCATACTCTCTCCGTACCGGTTACAAGCTGATGGACCCGGGTTTACCGTTCTATGCCCTCTCCAGTCTACAGCCCCAAAAGATGTCTTACCCCTTTCGTCGGACGAGCGAATAATAATAGCTCGCTGGCTGATGCAGAAGGGAGAGGCCCAGGACCGACTCTCAGGAGAAGAATTCGAACTTTAATCTACCTACGGCTAACTTATCTGACTGCGAACGATTCACCGGGCTGGGTGATACGATTGATTTATCTTCCCATCCATCAGAGAGAGAGGATCATAGAGTGATACATGGTAGGTGTCAAGCTTGACAATCACTGCATTTTCTCAACTACGGCTTTTCATGTCACTATGACTGGCACCTGCAATAAGGGTAATCTTTATGAAAAATATTATTCTTTTGCGTCATTCTTTTTAAGGTTCTCCGAAGAGACTCTGTACTCTCTGTATGTACCATACTGTACAACGTATGTACATACACTTCATCGGGTTTGCCTCGTGGATTTTCTATCAGCAACCACCCACCCACCATCTTGTCCACTTATTTTTTTTGTTCTTTTTTGTTCTTTTTTTTAGGGAAGATTTATCTGGCTGGGAAATCATCCTTTTAACTTCTACATGGAGTGCATGCGAATGAAATGACCACCTATAAAATAAATTCAAATTTTGTGAATCAAATCGGCATAAAATAAATAAAAGACCATTAGTTAGAATTGGTCAGTATTAGAGAGATTGGGAGTAAAGAAAGTGTTGTGTGCCTGGCGTTCCGTTCTTCTCGCGGTGTCTGGAAAATCCCGTCCGTCAGTCTCCGCCCGCCTGTCAGTCGTCGGCCTCCCCTAAGAGTGAGCAACAGAGAAAAGAGAGAGAGAGAGAGAGAGAGAGAGAGAGACAGAGACAGAGTGTGAGCGAAACAAGCAACGCAGCGCAGCGCAACTCCCATCCCATCCCATCCCATCCCCATCCCCATCCCCATCCCCATCCCCATCATTCCTCCCGTCCATTATCTCTCCTCTCACTCTCACTCACTCACTCTCCCTCCCTCCCTAATTCCTTTTCTTCTTCCTCTCCCATCTTACCCTTCAGCCCTTCAGGCTCTCTTCTTTTCTTCTTTTTCTTCCTCTCCTCTATCCGTTTTCTCGCCTACCCCATCTCTTTCTCTCTCCCCTCGCTCCTCCCCGTCCTCGCCCGCCGGCCCGTCTTCTGCTTGATTCAGAAGACAAGGTGCCCAGCCTGAAGGACTCTTCTCCCTCCACTTCTCCCATTGTCCGTTTTCTCCTCCTTCATCTTCTTTCGCCGTCTGCTTCCTTATCGTTCCGATCTTCATTTTCATCTGTGTACATGGCTCGACCGCTCTAGACAGCCTCTGCCATCCTGGAGCTTTGTGTTCCTTCCGTCGTACCTCCGTCGCCAACTCCTCCCTCTTCGATCGCCTGATCCGAGCCCTTCGTTTCCCTTTCTTCCTTTTTCCTCAACAGCATTCATTCTGCATAACAGAAGCGCATTTTCTTTATTTGTTGTATCAGTATAATCCACTGGCATTTCCTCTAGAACAGGTACGCTCCCTTCGCTATCATCCCTTCCCCTCTCCCACCCATCCACAACATCACCCCTCCCCCCTGGGTGTTGAGGAGGCAAGCACCATCGTGGCTAGAGAGCCATCGACCCTTGAAATTCAACCAATCTGTTAACCCGCTCGCTTTTGTGCAATGCTGACTGACAGCTGTGTGTAGCACAGAGTCTCTCCTGTCTTCCTTTTCCCTATCTCTTACTCACACCCTTGAATACTTCTTCGGGTATCCCTCGACGTTCGACTTGCTAAGTGTTGGAAGAATAATCTTGCCTCTCAAGGGACCAACATATTTGTGACGCTATCTGTCACGCGTCAGACCCTGTTTCGTTCTGAGTAGCGGAGGAGAACATCATGGCTGCGTTGGTACAGACAATTCCTCAGCAAAGTGGCACGGTTACTGTGCTCCAAACTCGACCATCATCTTCCTCGGGCGCATTCGCACCTTCGTCGCCCCTCTCGCAATCTCAAAATCCGCGGAATTCGAGTATGTCCTGGAATCCCTACAATACAACGGGTAATTCAGCGACATACAGGACAGGCCACCAGGTTGTGGCCCCCTACCAATTCAACAGCACTCCCAACCTCTCCAATTCAACGAGCATGCACAATCGTCAGTCGGGTTCTCCTCACTTGAGACCCGAGCATCGTACCTCTTCTGCTCCTTCCGCACCCCAATTATCCGCAAGTCCTGCCCACGGCGGACTCAACTCGCGCTTTTCCTATCACCCTGCAGCTGGTTCTGTATCCTCATCCTCCAACTCCTCTGTTCAGTCCTACATGTCGAAAGACGACTCCGCCATCCCATCTCGGCAGCTTCGTGCTGAGCCTCCTTTACGTCCATTGTCGACGGTCAACATCCCCTCCTCGAACTTCATGAACATATCTTCTCCCACCGTTGCTCGGCCCTCTCCCGATCGGTATCGACGCGGAAATCGGCGTCCTGACAGTGCCGCGGGGCTCCCGTCTCCGCTACCACAGACGAACGCACCTGGGTCGGTACGGACTGCACCAGCCACGATGGATGATAGCCTTCTCCAACCCAGCACACCCGGCACACCCGGCTCTCCAGGATCAACCGGTTCTGTTTCCGACGGCGCTCGCCGCCCTGGTCACGTTCGAGCGCCCAGTGCAGACGACACTTCACGTGCGGACAAGCCTCAAACGGAATTGGCCAAGCGGTACCGTCGCCGAAGCTGGGGTACTATTGATAACGCCGGTCTCATCAACATGCAACTTCACCTGCCTACATCATCGCCGATCCCATCGACAGGTGGCCATGACTACTTCGACCAGAACCACCGACCCCGATCGGCTCAATCCAATCGAGATGTTCAAGGAAGCATTCCCTCTGCGCCCTCCTCTACATCCTCCGTGCGCGATGCAGGACACATCGAAAACGCAAACCCGTCAAGTCGAGGCCCCAGCAAACCAGAGGAAAGCAAGCGAACCAGCAAGCCCTCACCCCTTTCTCAGCCGGTTGATGTCGATTCGAAGCCCTCTTCTCCTAAACCCCCGCAGTCTACTCCAAGTCCCAAACCTACTGCAGCTGCAAATCCTCCTCCAGAACGACTATCAGAGTTGGCGAAGAACGATCTGAAACGTCCGGGTAAGTCCAGGTTGAGAAGGGCTTTCTCGTTTGGCAGTGCTTCTGAGCTCCGCAAGGCGTCGAACAAAAAAGAGGTCATTGCTACTGAAAGGGCTCGGCGGGAATTGCTACAGGAGGAGCTGGGCCCCGAGCAGGCGGCGATTGCTGAGCAGCAGGAGGCAAGTGGACTGGGCGAGAGCATTTATTCGTCCCACCACCAAGGCCGTATCTTCAACAGTTCTACCGACAACCTGTCCGTCTCGTCGACCGCGTCTTCCGCATCGATCATGCTGCGAAAGATGGGCAAAGGGATGAAACGATCGACGCGGTCTCTCGTCGGCTTGTTTCGCCCCAAGTCCATCATGAGCACATCGTCCACGGATGCTGTGATCACTGAGCCAATGGCACCGCAACTGTCTGTGGTCAATATCGAAGCCGAGCGTAAGAGTGGAACTGTTAACGCGGACGCTCGCGATCTACCCCACGGGGGTACGGCGTTTCCTAAACTGGAGTCGATTGGATCAAGTGCCGCAGGTCATGATGATGGCGGCCTTGACAAGGGCCAGTCGCGGAAGAGCATTGTTGGAGGAGACAGAGAGCGAGCGGAAGTCCTGGCGGCAGTCCGGAAAGGCATTCTCAAAAGTAAGTAATCTGCTTCATTTGTTCGTTGATATGTCGAACAGGTTGTCTAACATTGCTGAAGAGACAAACTCGGACACCAATGTCCCTACAACTTCCACCAAGTCTTTTGAGAACTCTCAAGCGATCAACAACAGCGACTCACCGCACTCTAGTGTTCCTAGCACACCGGAGGACCCGACGCGGTCTGGCAACCGCCGTTCCGACGCAATCAAAATTGCCGGCGAAGATGACTATCTCTCCGATAGCCGGTTCCTGGGGTCTGAGGCTAAAAGCGCCCCCGTCACGCCGCTTTCCAAGAGCCTTGTTTTCAGTCCCCGTATCCAGTTTCATGAGACGTGGCCCAGTGGGGAGTATGATCGACGGGGTGACATTGCCACTTGCAATCGCCTGACGCCCCTGCTCGCCCAGCAGATCAAGGAGGAGCTCAACAACTTCAAAATGGTACGTATTTGCATCCCATGCTGGTTGCGACGAGTGTAACTAACTGTCTGGGACAGGAGATGGAAGTCCATGAAACGTCGAAAATCTATACCCACTTCCTCTGAGTCGCTGCATTTATGAAAGGCGTTTTAACTGCGTGTCTTGTCTTATTTAATCTCCCGAGGAGTGTTGGATCGATCTATGACGGCATGGTACCCCTTGGTATCTTGTAGACCTGTTTCCTTTTTTTACCCCTAGAGGATGTTTTGGTTTTCGATCCGGGCTAATCTTCGACCTCGGTTTCGCGCCCGAGACCACCCATTCGACCTGTGCTCGACGGTCCAACCGGCCATCTCTTCATGCGTTTTTTCTGCGTTCTGGGTGTTACGGCGAAAACCACCTCCAGGTCTTGAACTTCTTTTCGTGTCTTGTGTTCTTCTATCTACGCATGGAGGTCTATGGGGAGTCTTTCCACGGCCAGTGGGGAATTGCTTGGGATCGATGGGTACAACGAAAGGCACTATCGCCCGTGGTCTTTTCGACTCGGTGGCCTTCGGTCTTTGCTGCACCCGGATATCAGGCCTCGATCTCATCGACTCTGCCAGCGTCACGTTGTACGTGCGAGCCCAGTGACGTTTATGGTTTCCTGGACCTTTCTCATCAACACTAATTGCGTACCCTCCCACTAAATGATGGGGGGGGG